CCCCTTGAAAGCCACTGGAAAGCAGTAAAGCGACTACTCAGATATCTCCAAGGCACTCTACAACATGGATTACACTACAAGAAGTCAACCGATACTGGAATACATGCATACTGTGACTCAGATTGGGCGAGTGACCATGAAGACATGCGATCAACATCAGGGAACTGTGTGTATCTAGGGCCTAATATAGTGTCTTGGATGGCAAAGAAACAAAGAGTTGTCTCTAGGTCCAGCACCGAGGCAGAATTTAGGAGTCTCGCAAGTCTGGTCACAGAGGTTCAATACATTCAGAATCTGCTTTCAGAACTTCACAATAGCAGCACCCAGCCACCTCTCATATGGTGCGACAATCAAGGAGCAGTTCTTTTATCTGCCAATCCAGTATTACATACTAAAACAAAACATTTTGAGTTGGATTTATGGTTTGTTAGAGAAAGAGTGGCTCGGGGACAAATTCAAGTCAAGCATATCCCAGCACGGTTTCAAGTCGCAGATTTATTGACTAAGGCTCCAAGTTCATCTATCTTCTTAGCTTTAAGACACAAACTCACTGTAGATAAACAATCCACACTAAGTTTGAAGGGGGATAAAAAGGATATTCTCTAGTTATCTCTACCCTTCTCCGTTTGTATATAAATACTCCTGTATTTTTCACTCTCAATATTGAGATTCACATTCAGTCTTACATCCAGATTCAATACAATTTCCTTCTCCCAATTGCTCCTCTACAAAGCTGTCTCTCAATTTTCAGCTCAAACAAACATTGCTTCTCAACTTTTTTATTTTTTATTATTTTTTATTATTATTTTTTTCCTAGAACGCTCTTTGCAGGTTTTCATTCTAGCAGATTCTTCAAGCAATGTTTCTCTCTTGTTGAAATCATTTTTCGAGAAAGCTCTATTCACTTTGCCTTAGTGTTTGAGGGATTCGTCCTCCTCAGATTCTCTTTATTAGCTTGCAACTCGTTGGGAGTGTGGATCCATCCATTCCTAGTCGTTTCTCCTATTCCGCTTGGATTTCACGGTTGCACGACACGATTTATCCTCTTGGGGTAAAAGTTGGCGTCTTGAAAACTCTTTATGCATATGGCTTATATCCCATTACTTTCGACTAATGCACATAGGTTAATTTCCCTTTTTATTTTCGTTTATTCTTTTACAAGGAGGAATTTGTTCTAAATGAATGTAATGCAGAATCGGGTCCCTATAATGGGGGCACCTTGGGGGCCTTAAGACCAGTGAGATTAGAATTGTCCTATACAATGCACTTTTCTTGTAGGGACCATAGACCAAGGATTTAAACGTGACTGTTCGCGGGTGTATGTTGATTGAGCATGTGTGTGTACATTTGTTTGCATTATTTGTTCTAATAAGAGTGGATTAAATTTTTAAAATAAGCAAACTGATAAAAAATATAAAAAAATAGAGAAATTTATACCCCTTTTTGTACATTCGTAGGTCATCATATCATAGCATCATATAAGTAGTTTCATTTTAAAAAAATAATAATAAAAGAAATCTCATCTCCATGCATCATTTCCCTTTAGCGTTGCCGCCATCCGCCGTATAACCTTATTGATAACCTTGAAATGAAGGCAATGTCTCAATGACCCATTTCAACATGTCCAAGCATTTAGCAATCTCATTCCATCAAAAGGGCTTGAAAGACCATTCTAATTATGTAGGAGGAATGAATATCACCTAAGTCACTCACATACTTCATCTTATAAGATGTTCAATAAATAACTTTATAATCACCTAACACAAATGATGTTTGACAATATCAAAACATATAAACCCTCATGTATGCAACTGTAACGAGTAGTGATTTCAGACCAAAGGATCAAAATCAGAATAGGCCAATAAATTATTCTAAGAACTGTACCCCGTACCCTTATCATTAATTTTCAAAATAATACAAGCCAAGAGGAAACTCCATCTCCAAATTTAATTATGCATTTTTATATAGAAATTCTCGGACAGAGGCTAATGATCAAATATATCTAATTTCCTAATGCTTTAGAATAATTTATAGTCAAATGTATGTTGTTAGATCTTCTGCAGAATAATTAATACTCAATTCCTTTTAGTCATTTGCCTCATTAGTCTGCCTTGCCAGCCACCACGTGTTGGCTTCTCAATATATTATCCACAACTTCTTAGATGTCATAGTATTGTGTTTCTTCCAGCTTAATGCAACAAAATTATCCTTCAACATACAAAAATATCTAAGGAGTAAGGACTACCCTTCTTTCAATCACCGAAACCCTTGAACTAAGCCAAAATGTTGTATTTGACATTCAGCTTCTTCCAGAAAAACCAAGAAGCATCAAAATCATCAACAAATAGCCCGGCCTATACTGAACTCTACTAGCCATGAATTTCTTAATACAAGGCATGTCTCAATTTTTCTTCAAACAATCCCCACTTGGTAAGAAAAAGACTAGCCCCCTCTATTGGCTTTCTATCAATCTCCTACACTTTTTGAATATATTTTCACAAAGAGCATGCTGAATCAGCTAACAAATCATTTGAACACCATTTTTATTCAACAATTTCCAACACAGCCAAAAGCCACACAACACAAGAATTACATTAAAAGGGCCTAGAATAACTAACAACAAAACTGAATGCCTACACTCCTAGTTCAACTTGTAAAAACACAAATTGACTCAGAAAGAGAATACCTGATAAGAGGGTCCAAAAGCAATCCCAGTAAGCTTGACCTGATCCTCTCTTGGCCGATTCTTAATCAACTCTTCTTGCTTCACCTCAATCACTTCCGTGGGAACCTCATGCCTCCCTCTCTTCCCAGGAATCCTCACCACACTGTCACCAACCCCCGACAGTTCCGGCACTGGCACCTCCGACACGTCACCCCAATTATTCCCATACTGTGCATAATCCCCATAGCCACCATAGGCATCACCATAATTCCCATACTGGCTAGTTCCATAAGCAGCAACCCCAGCCTCTGGCTCGGTACCCGAACTCACCGGTTCGGCACCGGCATCATAATTGCCATAATAACCACCATATTGGTCAGTGGCATATTGGTAATTTTCATAATCCCCTGCACTTTGATCCACGGGAACATTGGGAATATTGCTCGAACCACCACCGGAATCCGACGCCGGTGCCGGTGATTCGGTTTCGATGATGGATCTTCGGCCTGCGCCGGAACTTGCTTGAACACCGAGAGTGGCGGTGTTCCTCGGCGCCGGAATGCTGGCAAGAAACGATTTCACAGATGAGGTTTGCGTGGAGGACTCTAACTTTTTCCTTCTTCTATTTCGTTCTTCTTCGTCTTCGTCGTCGTCGTCGTCGTCGTCGTCGTCGAGTTGGGTAGGGTTTGGGAGAGGGATGATTGGAGGCCTGAATTGCACGACGCGTTTGGGTTGCGGTTCTTCGATTTGGGGTTTAGGTTTAGAGTTAGGGTTAGGAGAAGCGGTTTGGGTGGAAGGTTGGTTGGGTGGAGGAAGAGATTGAAAGAGGGATGATTTGGGCGGAGGAAGAGATTGAAAGAGCGAGGATTTGGGCGGAGGAAGAGAGGAAAACGATGTCGTTTTGGGTGGGTTTGGTTGTTGGTCTTCTTCTTCGTCTGAAGAGGCGTAGTTTGCTAGTAGAGAATCCATGGCCACCAATCTATGATGCTCAAACCCTACCCAACGCTCTCTATTCCTAACTTCTTAACTCTTCACCTTTATTTAAATTTTTTAAAAAAAATATTTGAGAATAGAAAAATAGTGTAAAGCAACTAATTTAAGAAAAATTATTTTAATGCATAAAACTTAAGAAAAATAATTTAAAACAGTCATTTTAATATACAAAATAATTAATATTTTTAATTTAAAAAATGTTTTACTAAATTGTGATGAAATCATGTAAGTAAGGATGATGAAAGTTTAATAAAATATATTTTCGTATTTGAAAATAGATATTTTAAATTTATAATGTCAGAAGCATAGGTGTATTTGATGGAAACAATAGAATTGGAGAGAGTGAAAATAATTAAAGTGGGGAGAAAGGAGAAATAAATTAAAAAAGTAAAAAAAATCATATTCTTTATTAGCAGAGAAATAGGAGGGAGACAATATTTTTTAATTAGTTTCTTTTGAATTAAATAAAAAATCTGAATTGATATCATAAATTAAATTATAAATATATTCTTTACCCAAAATTGACTAATTAAAATAAATTATGCACACGTTATTTATTTAAGAATAGAAGAAATGAAAAGAAAAAAAAAACTACAAAGAATTTTCTTTATCACTAAATACATATTATCATATAAATAATTATGTTCAATACATAATTTTTAAGTTTCGTCACTTGAATTAGGAAAGTTTAGTACTATTATCATAATGGTAAAATAGTTTGGATTTGAGTTTACTAGATTATCACGGCCTTAATATACATATGTGAGTCTCATATGGAATTAACTTATTGACCACTTTTCAAATATAACGCATATTTTCAATAATTAGTTAGGATATTATTCATTTACTTCATATTTTATTCAGTTTGGTCACTTTATACGTGTATGACTCTATCTTATCCCACATGGATCTACATTAATCACTTTATACACGTATGACTCAACTTTACCCCTACACAATTCTATATTTGGTTGCTTTGTATATATATGGCTCGACCTTGTCTCTTATGATTTTACATTTGGTTGCTTTACACAAATAACTCGACTTTGTCCCCTTGGAAATTTAGGTGAGTTGGTCTTTAGGGTTCATTAAGGTTAAAACAAATCTTAAGATTCTATGAATGTTTATAAAAAATACTTACAAATTACTAATCCACAAAGTCCTCACATAAACAAAAAATAAACTCATTTTCTCAATCTATTTACACCTTTACATACAATGCTTGTATTTGTTTTGTCATTAATAACTACACTTTTTGTCATTTATATTTCATGATTTCACAAAAAGAAATTATCCAAGTTTTTGTAGGTTTTGTCACTCGACTTTTAAAATTTAACACATTTGATCACCTTTTTAGTTGGGCATCCAACATCCTTAGTTAATTGTTAACATAGCATGTTGATGAGATATGTAGATGATAGTGTAATATAATGTGTTACATCAATATTTAATGCATCACATTAACATTTGACATATTATGTTGCAATGTTGTTCGATGGTTAACTAATAAGGTAACAAAGTGTGTAAAATTTTTAAAATTAGATGACAAAATATATAAATTCTATAATTAAGTGACCAAATTTACAAATATATGGGCTTAAATATGTATTAAATCTCTCAAATTTTGGATAAATTTATTTTTGGTCCATCAAATTTAAAATTATTGTTTTTAATTTCTATAACATTCAAAAATATTATTTTAATCTCTCAAATTACCAATAACATATATGAAAGTTGTAGACTGAGACAATTATACATCATCAACTAGATTTAATGTGATATTTTTATCACTAGTAGATAAATTTTATACGATATTATCTAACAAATTTCTTAACAAAATTTAATTTGAGTATAAGGACTAAAATAAATTTTTTTAAAAAATAAAGAAAAAAATCAATTTAAAAATTAATAGGTTAAAAATAAATTTAACTTAAATATAAAAAAAAAATATTTAAACCTAAAATATAGGTGACAAAAATACAATTAAGTCATTGTTTTATTTTGGGCCAGAGTTGGGCCACTGATTATGTTTGTCGTTATTATGTTTTTGTTTTATTTTCTCTTTGTTTTATATTGGGCCAGGTCTAAAGATGTAAACAAAAAGTAGAAATGGGTCAAGTCTCCCCAATTGAATTTATTGCATGCATGTAGAAATTAAAATAAAAAATGGTTAAATAAATACGAACAAAAGTTGGGTCTCGTGATATTTCTCCTTACTCTTAAATTTTGTTTCTTTAATTTTATTGGCAATTTCAAAATAATATCACGGTGAGAAAAATTAATTGTAACGGTTTATCAATTGGGCACTCAAATCATTTTCTGCACTCTTAAAATTTGCTGCTTTAATTTTATTTGTTTTGTCAGTTTTGGTATTAAGAAACGAGTTTTTTTTTATTGAAATATCTAAAGAATGCCTTTAGAACATTTATCAATAATATTAAAAAAATTAAAATCATTAATTGAAAAGAAATCTACTAATGAAAAACATTAATTATACTAAGTTATATGTTAAATTAAATATTCTCTGAGCAACTATAATATAATTTTTTTTAAAAATTAAAGCAAATTATTTATACAGAAGTGTTTTTAGAGGTTATTTTAACCTCTCATTTAATTTAATTTTTTATTTATCATATTTATTTATAAATTAAATTTAATATTTTTAAAATACATTATCAATAATTAAAATAATTTTATGTCATAATATAAATTATTTATTTTAAATAGAAATATAATTTATATATTTAAAAATATCTATTCATACAAATTTTAAATATAATTTATATATTTAAATATAATATTTATTTGTATATAAATTATTATAAAATTTAATTATATAATAAACATTTAACAACTGTAAGCTGTAAAGTGTCATAATTATTTTAAGTTATTTTTGTATTGTTAAGTTAAGTTGTGCTACATGTTGAGGAACATAAAGGATTTGAAGATTTTTTATGAGTTTTAGTGGTGTTGGAGGTTTCTTTAAGTAGAGGGTTAGTTTGATAAAAAGTATATATACAAGGTTTGTATTTAGAATAGAGTCTCATAAACTCAAGTTCTCGAAAACTTACAAAAAAGAAATTCTAGAAAGATAGAATTTTGCCTGTGGACTATGAATATACTATTCTTCTAGAGTTTTTTTTTCTTTCCTAGTTGATTTTAGGTTGTTTGTTGTGATTTAGGTTGTGAAAATCCTAAATCCAATCTATGAAGTGCGAACAGAAACTAGATTCTTGCCCTTAGTTGAGTTAATGAGTTGTTGAATAATGCATTAATTGCATGTTTTATGAATTCCATCAAGATTCATAGTTGAGTCGATTAAATTAGAGTGGCCTGTATCGAGAGTTGGTATTTTGGGTTCATGGAAAAAATGTGATGGTCTCAAATGATTTGTGATTGCATGTTGATTCTAAGTGTATATATGTGTTGGTTGTAATGTATATAATTGTTGTTTGATGTTGCATGTGTTGGATCTTTGTTAAATTTCAAGTTTGGGTCAAAAATCAGGTTCTGCATATGTAAAATTTTGATATCATGTCAAATGCACCTTTAAGGCGCTAGGCATCATTCCAACATAAGGCTCTTTGTCTCGACCATGTGTGAGGAGAGACTTGTCTTGAATTGAAATGACGTCAAGTGTGATTTGAATGACGTTAGGTGTGAGAGTATTGGGAGGTCTCTAACTTGGTGATGTCGAGCTCAACTTTGAGTGGCACCTAGTGTGACCAAACTAGAGCTCTTTGTTTGGATAGGTGCTAGTATGATGACACCAGATGTGAGTTAGGTAGAGACTCTCTACATGAGATAAGGTCGAGTGTGACACCTTGCCACGTTCGGCATGAGGTCTTAAGGGCCTCTGCCTTATCCATGCTAAATGTAGGTTGTGTAGCATCAGGCTTGAGGGAGGCAATGAGTTAAACTAGCTAATGTCGTGGTAGACTCATACCCAATTGTTATACCTTGACAATAGTATTAGGCTTCATTGTTTAAGTGACAACATTAGAGAAACCAAATTTTTGTCTTATGGATTTAGATATATCCAATTTGTTGTTGATCTAAGAAGCCCAAAAATATCACCTTGTGTTGTTAGTTTGATAAGGTCAAGCCACTTAAACCACTCATCTTGTGTTGTAGTAGATCATCTAATTGAAATATGTGACGATATATATAGCTGTTGTGTTGTGTATATGATATATTAATTTAATTGTGTTGTTCATATGTACTGTTGATTTGTGATGAAGTATGTTAATATGTTGAAAACTAAGTTGTTAATGTTATGTTGTTTAAGTTGACCTTGTGTTGTGGTAGATGTAATTGTAAAGTTAATAGAGTTGATTGTGTTGAAACGTTGATTTTGAAAAATATGAAATAGTGTTTCAAAACCCTATTGTTCATATTTCTTGTTGTATATATCGTTGCTTTGAACCCTAACTTACCCTTATGTGTTTTCATATGATTTAGATTGTAATGATCACATATGATATATATGAGACTAGAGCATGGATAGGTGTGAGATGTTGCAACTAAGGTAAGAGGATGACGATGTTGTTTATATTTTTTGATGTTATCCCGAAGTAGTATTTTCTATAGGAGTTATTTAACTGGCAATTTAGGTTGTATCGTTTGTATTTACAATATTATTGTATATATATTACATATATTTGATTAGTTGTGTTTTATTTATATATACAAGTTATATAATAGATATTTTTGTATTCATATAGATATATAACTCTAAATTAGTAGTTATTTTTACTACTAGTTAATTATCATTAAGTGTGTAAACCATGATGAATCGTTACATAAAATGTACATGTTAAAACATTGATTTACTAGCGTTTGAACTCATAGTTCAATTTGAACGGTTTTGAGATAAAAAAGGAAAGAAAAAAATCCAGTTGCATTATTGTTTGAGAAAAAAATAATGAATCTAAATTAATTCAAGTTGATCTTTAATTTGAATTGGATCAAATTTTTTGTCTTCTATCTTTTTTTAAGTTTTTTTTTACCATTTTTTTTTCAACAAATAAATAAAATTTCATCAACTATTTTTTTTATACAAGGGATAGCAAATTTAATCAAATTCAAATACATAATAAATTTAAAATTAAAAGTTTTTTAAAGTATTAAATTTTATTATAAATTACAACTTGTTAAAATTATAAATCATGATACAAAATAATAATATTTGAAGTTTATTTGAGCATTGAATTAAAAAACTTAACACAAGTTGTTTAGTATGTTTGTGGTTTGATTTGATTTTAAAGATGAGAACAGAGAACAGAAAACTAAACTGGGTCACAATTAATTAAAAAACATGTAATTTTTTTAAGTTACTATTATTATTATTATTATTTATTTTCGTTTAACAATTTGTTTGATTTTTCCCCTGCCGATTTAAAGGATTAGATCGGTTCTTAAACACTCCTACAAAATATTTACCCAAAAAAAAAACCCTGCAAAATATACATGTGATTAAGTAAATATGTGACATGAAAATTTTATATCCTTTTTACTGTATCATTTGTCAATGTCATACTTTATTTAATTATACTTTTATGACTCGTTCTTATTATTGTTTCCTCTATATTATTTGGTAAATAACAACTTATTTGATTAGTAACCATATGGTTACACTTTAAAAATGTCATATATACTAATAATCAACCTTAAATAACAATTGTTTACCAAAAATTAGACCAAACATTAAAAGTTTCTATTAATAATAGACAATTATGTTATTATATAAAGAATTGATACATATCAATGGTACATGAAATGTTAGTTTACAATACTTATATTAGATTAACTTTTAAAATATCACCGAAGTGATTTTCTTTTCCTTTAATGATTGGAATTTTTTGTGATATTAATTTGCTTTCATAGCTATTTTTAGTACAGAAAATATGAAAATCCAATTTCATTGTAGGCAACGTTAGACGCTATACATATGATAGACATACTGGCATGCAGGAAATGAAAAAGAAGAAAACTAGCAAACTAAAGAGTTTGAAGACTCTTTTTGAATTCACTACAGAAAACATTTGAGTGGGAAATATAGAAACTCTAAAACAGAATTTTCATCAGATACTCATTGGGCTCTGAGGATCATTGAGAGCTGAAATGGCTGTCTCAATTTTATTCTGCAAAATATCTTTCTCTTCCTCATCTGCCTGAACACTCAAACAAAACGCACTAGTTAGTGCTTTTAAGAGGCATATACCTTTCACATATTTATTACTGCTTTATTGCATTATGCAAATATTATATATCTAACATGAATAATTAATGATGAATCCTTTTCATTAATCAAGATGATCGATATCACTTTTATCACTCTGGTAAATATATATATATATAGGATAAAAAGAAATGTCACCATTGGATTCTGTCTTCGTTTCCTAATCAATCTGATTAGGATTTCAATTATTCAGTTAAATAATCAACATTATTGATATCTAATGCTTGCATTTGAAACAAACTTTTTCTTTTGGCTTGGGTGGAAAGATTACTAGTTAATGTGACGTGACTACTATCGCAATCATCACAATTATTTGTCTTTGTGTCAATTTTAAAATTTATTTAACTAAAGCTTATGCAGCTCAAAGTTAATTATGATTAACTCAGTTTTTCATAAATTACTTTAAAGATATATTTATTATATTAAGTTAATTTTTTCATTTCAATTTCTTACATCAATGTTTAGAATGAGAAATGAAATAAAGACATACAACTTTTATTTTTAAATTAATCAAAATCCTTTATATCGAGTTCTACCAACAGGCAACAGCAAACCCTAGGTAACCCTAAAATGAAAAATCAGAAACCCTCTCGCTCGATCTCAACACAAACGATAAAGGATCAGATCCTTTGAATTTTGTTTTTTAACTATAGTGGATCTCATCAGCCACAAAAGATATTAATTTATGAGTAAAAATAATTATAAATATAAATATATAAAATAGCAATAAATGTATAAAAGAATTGTTAAGTGCAGAGCAACCATTTCCCGCAGGGAAATTTCATATCAACGACATGGTCAGTGCGATTCGCCTACCACTCTACGCCATCTAATCATTTTTTGTTGAAAAAATGGGCAATAACTAAGGAATATTAAAAATAAATAAAAATAGGACGAGCAAATAATCAATTGTTTTAGCTTCTGATGAAAACTAACCCTCACCACTCATGCCAGCGAAAAAATACCACCTAAAACTATATTGATAATATTATGAAACAAAATTTAAATAAATTGTATAGATAGATAATCCCAAAACATTATATGACAAGAACGTACGTCTTTCAAATTGCACTGCGTCATGGCTTGCGAAACCCTCATTCTATTCAGATTGTGAATCACGTTTTCAATTCTTGGTCTTATAATTATATGGGCACTGCATTCCTACGAAATATATTGTTCTAAAGTTTAATTTTGTCCCCTTCAATTCGTACTACTAGTCTACTAATGCAAGCTAGGAAACGATTTTTTTTTTGTTCTTACCATATTTTTAATCAAAATTTAAAATGATATAAAAATTACTTTTATATTAAAAATGGAATTTGAAAATAAAAAGCGAACTAAATAAATACCTATAAATTTCAAAAAAGAAAAAAAAAAGAATTTGGCCCGTGGGAGATATGAGACACGTGCTAAATGTAGTGGTATAAGAAATATATTATTTGCATTTGGCACATGCACAGATAGGGCAGTCCAGATACAAGGAATGCAAGAAAACAGTCTTATTAGTCCCAAGAAGCATTCCGATTCGATTACGTTGTTGTTCGGAGCTTTCAGAATAATGGGATCACATTGCACTACAACAAAATTTATTATTAATAATTATTATTTAATAATAATAATTTAATTATCATCATATAAAATATTAATGTTTAATATATAATAACTATTAAAAAATGTATTTATATTACACTAAAGTTTATTATTAGTGACAATAATTTATTAAAAAAAACTTAAGTCCCACATTAATTAAATAAGATAATTAAATAATATATAAGTGAGTAATAACTATTACCTTACAGATTCATTTTTATAGGATTGACTCCTAATTCATTATTCTAAATTGGTATCAAATCACTTATTATTACTAAATTCAATAGTATTATAAAATAATTAGAGAACAACTTTCACCTTATAATTCTCACGTTTCTTAAGAGACAGATAATTAAAGCACCTTATAATTCTCACATTTCTTAAGAGACAAGACAATTAAAAAAATAAATTAAAAATTATATAAATAAAAAATAACCCTCATCTTACAAATCTCACATCGAGTAGAGATAAAAAAAAAATATAAGTTATGAATTTAGAAAAGGAAATTATAAGAATAAATTATTTAAGTAAAGGAGACAATTGAAAAAAAATAATTTTTAATAGCCTTTAAAATAGCTACTAAAATTGCCAATAAAAAAACTAAATTTTTCCGACAATTTAGTAGATCTTTATCAGTATTTTATATAAATGTCAGTAATAGTATTAGCGACACTGGATACACCAACCTTTATTTAAATGTTAGTAAAAAAATAATAATCATTTATATGGCCGTTAAATAATGATCAAATCTTAATTCTTAGTAATAAAGTGCAACTATCGAAATCCGGATACTAACAATTTTTGATAAATTAAAATTTTAAAGTATTAGTTTAAAACACATTCTTCAAAAAGATTAATATAAAAATAATGTAATTTTTTAAGATATTAATTTAGTAATTAAATTTTTTAAAGATTAATGAAATGATAAATGAAACTTTCAAAAATTAAATTGAGAGTTTTTTTAAAATTATTTATAAGATCTAAACCATTACTCTTCCCCATTAAAAAATAAACAAAAATATGTTTTCATTTTCTTTTTGTTATCTTTTAATTATTTTTTCTGTCACACACCACTAATTACAAGCTTACAATTGTCTCTTTCTCTCTTTTTTATTTATTTATTTTTTATTTGTGTCTCTTTTCCCCTTTGATCCCATAAACCACAAATTGTGATGTACTGGTATTATTGTTCCAAAAAATAGAAGCAACTCACTTTTCTTGGTTTGCTTGTAAAAATGATGACAATAACACGTTAAACACATCCTTACAAGAAAGATGGTGAAGCTACACTTTATTTTTAGAATACACGTGGATGGAAGAGAGATAAAGAAAAAAAAAATAATAAATAATAATGATAAATAAATAAAAATAAGATACAAAATAATGTCTTTAGCAAAAACGTTTCACACTGGGAACATTTGTAGTTGTTTTTTTTTTTAAATAGTGTTTTTAAGGTTTTCTTTTTAACTTTTTTTTATCTCTTTTGATTTATCATTTTTATTTTAAATTAAAATTTAATATTTTTAAAAACATTAATAATTAGAACAAATTTTATCATAATATATATAAATTACTTATTATAAATCTAAAATATAACTTAAATGATCAATAATATCTATTTACTATAAAACAAAAAAGTTGTCATGTAGTATGCAACTTATAGTGATATATACAATATTTCTTACTAAAAATTATTTTTACTTACATAATATATATTAATATATTGTTAAAAAAGTGTCTGTATAGAATATAATAGCATATAATATATTATTAAATCTCATTAAAAATTAAGATTAAAATTATGTATAATTATATATCAAATAAATTTATACTTACATATATTATATTTAATGTAACATTTTTTTTATGTCATTATATGTAATATCTTTTACAATGATTTATTAAAATATTATTAATATATTATAATTTTTAATTATATAAAATAAAAATTATTTTGTATATTATACAAAATAGAATTTGAAATTAATACGGAAAAGCTTTCATCATTAAAGTAAAAGCCTTATAGCTTTTTCTAATTTTTTATTTTTATTCATAGCAGCTGATAAATAGGTCAGGAAGGATCATCTTTGTTTAAAGCACATTATCGATGGGGGACCTTCTTTGCTTTTACTTCATTGATTGATATTTTAAATCAAACCTTACCATACGATCCGTAATTAATTTTAATCATTAATTGACTCTAAAATACCCATTATCCCTAAAAATTTCCCACCTTTATTAAAGTAATCCATATCAGTGGTATGTGGCCCCCAAAATTCAAACTGTTAAGTTTTTTTTTCTTCTTCTAACTAATCTAATATATGGTTAACTTAATTATATATAAACATTGAAGAAGGGCAAAATGGGAGACTAACCTGGATGAAGACAGTCTTCAAAAGCGTGCCTGAAAAAGAAGAGATATTGGCTGTAATGACCTTCAGCTTTAAAGATTCGAAGACCTCGCACAGTTTTACCATTGTATCTGTCCTTTTGTTACATGTCAAGCTCACCACAAACGTCTTTTCTGCCATATGTGTTACTTTCAGCTGCCATCCACCAGTTCAAAACCATTACTATTAGAATAATAATACTATATCATATCTCGACCTGTGTATCAAACTAAAATATTTTGTTTTAATCATAACAAATACTATAACCCGATAAGTTTATAACATATTAAACACTAACATCATCTGGGATAGATTTTGAGATTGCATTTTTTTTTTAATGTTTTCAATGACCTTCCCTACAATATAATATTTTTCAAATTAATTATTACAGAGAATTAATATGATGTAATATTTTTAAAAATAATTAATAGGAGTTAGCTAGTGTTTATATGTCAAACAAATAGGAGTTAGTATGAGAATAAAAAATATAGAATGTGTGTGCAATCTGATGAAAGTTACAGAATTTCTTCTATTATGTAATGCTGAATTTGTCCGGTGATAAATATCATGCGAGAAGAAATTAAAAAATAAATATTATTTTAGTTTTTTAATATAATGCTAATTATTTTTTCACGTATATTCTAAGAATATTTCTTAGAAAGTCGTATGTTGCATGGTTTGGAATAAATAAGATTTGTCATAAAGTTAGTTTTAAAAATTTATTATTATTTACTAACTTGTTTAATTATAAAACTTTAAGAGTATGCAAGAAGGAGTAGAGTGATGGTTGGAAGAGATATGATATACCCCAATAAGTTGAATAGGTGAAGTGGAAGAGTGAAGGAGGTGTTGAGTTCTGGTCTTCTTAGACCTGAGCAAAATTGGGAGGTCCTGCTG